CTAAGGTACTTCACTCAGATGTATCCAGTAACATTTCTCCATCTGTATAAACAGATACAAATATTGCTATGGATAAAAATAGGGAAATAATTATTAATTATTAATCAAGATGACGATGCTTGCTCATTTATGTCTTTCTATTTAGTGAATCCCACTCACAGTTAACTAACAGCAGCGCAAATTCATGCTTTTATGTCTGGTTTAAAAATATCAATGTGCTCACAGGGAAACATGCTTTTTCCTCAAACGTTTAACTTATTAATAAAAAGTCATCTTAATTTACTTCAGAACCACATCTCTCAGTTGATAAGGGGGTCAAATCCAGTCCATATAAATACTTAACTAACCAACAGTAATGGTTATTCTTTTTAAAAATGAGGTCATAACTGATACAGTATACAGTTTATACAGTATGTGCATTTATTTAGTATAATGTTTGATTCCATTTTGAAGAAAGAGCATTTATGTTACGACTATTAAAATAAATGAAGGAGTAATTTCAATGGCCAATTTAAGGTGCTCAGGAGCTCACAGGGTATTACAGTGAGCCTTTTCTGCCACCATGTGTTTGTTTTGCATTACAGGGTCTTTTTTAAGATACAGCTGAAGCTCTGTGGCCATCTAGTGGTGTCTCGTAATGCAAATGTTTTATAGCCAGAGTAGTAGACATGCAAAGATACTGTACATAAGCACTATTGTCAGAAACAGATAGAGAAAGAGAGGAACTACAGAATAACATATTAAGCTCTTTTGCACAGTATGATACAAAAACGGCACATCTTAAATACTGTTTTTTTATTGTTCAATGTTTATGCAGTATAATACAACAAGAAAGAAAAAATATTTTAACAGAATCGCTGTATGAACATGTAAGTGTTGAGAATCACTAAACACTGATGACACACTGTACTTTACTTGACTTCACAGATAACACATATAACAAAATAACATGATCAAGTCCGAACTGCTGTAGTCCACCTGTTATTATGAACCTGAAATCTAAAATAAGCAGCATGTATGGAAGAGAAATATGACTTGAAAATGTTTTGAAGTACAGTACATCAGACAAAACATTGAAAACATGTATGCCTATATACTGGTTCCTGAGCAAGACATTGACATAACTGAGTTTTTCATTATGTTTTCAGCAGTATTTGAATAGACTTTTCTAGACATTGAAAACTCTCCATTGTAACGCTAAAATATGCTTTCACAAAGTTTAATATTTCATTTCCATGGTATTTTTAAAAACAAGATGAATGAGCCAGTACAAGCAGTCACTGCCCCTCACAATCCACTGCTGCCAGATCAAAGCAGAGGTTGCCATGGTAGCCCCTTGAAACAGCTTGCCAGGAAAATTATGTTCTACAGGAAGTGTTTTTGTTGTACAAGAAAGTGGAATCCTTTCTTCAGAACTAGTGTAGAAAATCCCAGCCATCCTATGATCATGATGGGAGGCACTATGCTTCATGGATGAACTATAAATTAGGGATCTGAGAGCAGTGTTTGGAAAGAAGAGGGATACAAACTAAGGCATCATGGTCAAAAACTGTCCAGTCCATTTTATAAATACTGTATCTCCAGTTCTTTTAAATTTTCACATAAGAGTCCCCTTATCCCACTTCATCTACAGATTCTCCAGAATGTGCTGTTGCAGAATGAAGGTGGAGTTACTGTCGAGATGATTGCCCTTCCAGCCCAGGCTTTGGTTAATAAGGCACCACCATGTGCCTTTCTAATATGAAAAATGTTACAGTAACTTGTAGGATTTGAAGATGTACAACAGTATATGCGTCTAGAAATATACAGTACAATAAGAAAATCAGCTAAACAGGTGAAAGACTGATGCTAACATATGCCAGAATACCTCATGATGTTGGATCATTAAATTTGTTGTAAGCATTTTTGCTGGCTTGAATAATGTAGAAAGCAGCACCATAAAGCATAAACCTACTGTAGGAAAATGTTCTTGCACTATTGATAATAATGTGTCATATATTATCCCAATATACTGTACAGTAATTATATATGCACCAAAGAGCACTTCATATGCAAGAGCATATCTACAATTTCGATTCTTGATGATGCCACAATTTCTAACTAAAATCTATTATCTTTGGATTTTCCTTGCAGACATACATTTTGCATACAGTTTTAGCATACAGACTGGAAATTATCAGGAATAACAGAAATTCATGTTCTGATACAGATACCTGTTGGCAGTATTTTTTACTAAGGCCTCTTCTATGGGATGATTCTGCCATAGTCATTGGGATAATCTTGTGTCGTAGTTGAACAATTTGGGAAGAGAATGAAAGAGAGTCTCAGCTAAAGCATTTAACATTGAAAACTTTCCATTCCTCTGCAAACTCAGAATCAACCTTGGCTGCTCACATATGCTAGACACATTATGCAATTGTACCTCTGGCTATTATGGAAGTCAAATCCTCAGTTTTATGTTCCTTGTCTTGATTTATATTCTGTGGATGATAAAATTAAATTATGTTTGTTCTATTTGCAAGGCCAAAGTGAACATTAAAAAGTCTGTGTTTTGTATGACTAATAAAACAGATAAAAATATTAAAATTCCATACCTAAACCATACCTTCATTTCTTTAATATAAACTGTAAAAGATACAATGCACTTGGTGTGGGCAAATGAGTACACTGTGAATTAACAGATGTGGAGTTGTCTCCAAAACTCATCACTTTTCTTTTTTGTTGCCTCACCAGGATAACAAAATATACGTTTACATCTGTACTTCAGGAAAATACAGACTGCAATCTTGCAGGGAAACTACAGGTACAGCATATAGGCTTGTTTTGTGAGCAAACACTTTCTTTTACAACTCTTTTACAAAACAAAATTTATCAGGATTCAAAAACAAATGTAAGCAGCACTAAAACATCAAAATATTTTCAGCCAAGCCCAAAAAACATGTAGAGGTCACGGGTAGTGGATCCAACCTTCTGTCATGAATTCCTCCAAAGACCTTTATAGCTTTCTAGTTGACCTTTCCAGGCCAGTCTCCACCACTCTAATAGTGTCTCCTTCTGGTATGTTTATCGTACATTAATAATGCAGGAATATTTGGAGGCTTATTTGGAGCATGGTACTTTTTACACTTTTTTTAAATTATCCCTCTCAATATTCATAGTTTTTATCTGGAAAATGTCAAAAAATGGGTCAACTTTATCTCGAGGTCAACTACCTCATTTTCTGAATGTATTTTCATGGATTCAAGATCGACTTTCTTTCAAGAAGCATGTCCTCTTATCTAATATCAGTAGAACAAAGAATCAAGCCCACAATACCTCATTCGTTTCTCCTTGCTGGTAAACTCACCTGATTCCTATAAGACTTTCTGTTAAATCTATAAAAAACACCTACTGTACAGTATATACAGTATACATAACTTTAAATATCCTACAGTATATTATATAGTATTGTATTATAATAGCATATTATATAGTATATCTTAGGTGTATGTTTATTGATAATCACAGTGGATTAGTGTTTTGACAAGGTAATTTTATTTTTTTTCATCATAATTTGGTATTGTTAAAGTTACTACCTACTGTATAATAAACTATAAACATCTAGGTTCAAAATCATACAGACATTTCCTTTTTTCTTTGGAAACAACATATTAACATATAAAAAAAAAATTATGGATAAGTTACGATAACTTTGTCTTGTTATATGTATATTATCTAATATATCTTAAGTTTACTTGCATACAATAGTATTACAAATGTTGAATACTTTGTCTTTAATCCTTGCAAATTGTTTGCCTTATCACACACACCTGGTTTTCCTTTCGTGCATATCAACAACTGAGACCAAAGACTCATTTCTGTGGAAGGAATTTTGCAGAAAAAGTTCTCTGTGTGTACAAGATTTTCTCAAAACAGCAGATAGTTTGTACCATGTGTATTCTCTCTGAGATTTTTTTTTTCCTTTTGCCACTTTCATTTCTAAAACAATATGAGATATCTATGAATGTATGGGTTTGTGGAATGGTCAGAACTAGCCTACATCTGGCAACTTTTATAACTATCTAGTGATAAATGTGCTTAGTAGTGAACTAACTTGAATTACTATTACTATTACTTGGATGAATGTAATTGGAGTGTCTGCAAGTTTTATAAATGACAAAACAGAGGCATTTTCTTGACTCATTCTAGGAGCCCTAACAAAAATTAAAACTATGTATTGCCTTCAAACATCTAGTTGAGTTAACATCCAGTTCCCTAAATTCAGCTTTGATCCAAACCCACTCATAAATCACCATAATAATACGTCATTTAGTGGTTTAAAAGAATGACATGCTGTGGTCACAATCTGTGTAAGTGGTCTTGGAAATTGGTCAGCGTCCTCTTTTTCTTTACTCAGATGCAATGGTATTTTCTCCCATTGCTTCACAGATGATCAACTTTGAAGGCAACATCTGTTACTATGAAATAAGAGAAAAAGAGCTAATGAAAACAGATGTTAGCACCACATTGTCTTACAATTTACCTGATATATAATAAGAATTTAGTTTGACTTCACATCCATCAGTTGTGCTTCAATCTTTCTCTCTGTGAATTTTCTCAGATAATTTCCACTGGTCTTTAGCTTTGATTGAATATCATGCATCTACACTTAAACCATGAAATACAGAAATAGTCATGGATATTTCTGTGTTTACATTTCTTTTTAAAAAAAGTCAGATTATACTTAATGAAAGCCTATTGTTTTTGCCTCATGACAAATTTACTTTAATATGAAGTGTCTTATCGAGTCATCTGTACATGCTTGCAGTGCTAACTGGAGTTACAAATGTGGACTTTATTAATTGAATTGTCTGGGGTCATATTTAAAATAATAAAATGTACACATCATATAACATACATTTGAAAATCTTTTAAAAAAACTTTTCTCTTGAAGATATAGATATAAACAAGGGCACTTATTTTACAAGTAATGCTTAAAAATTAAACACAAAACACAGTTCTTCCAAAAACAATTTAATCATGTGCCCAAAAATAGCTTCAGAAAAATAGCATCTGGAATATATTTATATACATATATTACAAAAATAAAGATTTCAAGAAAGAAACCAAATTATTGTTGTAAGCTATTCTATAAAATGTAAGATTATTTTGATATTTACACCAGAATATTTTTTTCCTGCATGTCTACAGATGGATATTTAATGTCTTTTATTTTTAATTTATTACTAATGTAAAGCTCTAGTGGGTTTTCTTTTCCGGACATTTTTCGATGTCCCTCTTTGCCGAAAATCCTCTCCTGAACCCAGATCCACTGTTTCCTGGGTTTCTTTCCAGGTGTCAGAAGGCATTGGGAACTCTTCTCCAGAAGAATGGGTTCTGTGACCAAACACTTTGCTTTGGAGTTCTGCAATGTCATTTCTGATGTCTGCCATCATCAACAGCAAGAAATCAAAGGATCCTGGTGGGCCCTTTAATGTGAAAAAACAAAACAAAACATTGTATGCACAATGTTGATTGTGGTGATTTTTATTCCCAAGGCCAAATGTTCCACTGTTTCAGTGCAGCATCATTTTTCCCCTGACATTTGGAAAGTTTCTCTTATGAACATGATATTGTTTGTAATATTTGACAACATGAAGCAAAACTACTTAAATTAACCTGGTGTTCAACATTTTTGACCCAGAACACTCACCGTGCACAATTCTCCCCTTTCACAGTGTTTACATGCAATCTTGAAATGTTTAGCACGAAAATACGAAACACTCTGGATAACTAATACAAAAAATGTGGAACGTCCGTTTTGGTCAATATCATTTCCAAGTGTGGATAATTCACATTTATCACAGCAGGTGTGCTTCAAAGGTTACTGACATTACATGCAAATCATTACACATCCACAGTAATTCTTTGCATTTCTGGACAGTAAAGACTATAGAAAAAAAAATGGCTGTACTGTAATTGAGAATCATTTCCACATAAACATTCAGGGTACCAAGAAGATTTACAAAAGGTATCACATAAGCAACTCTTAAAATACACAAAAACAAAGATACAGCGTATTGTACATCAAGTAGTTGGAAACATGACCTGTACTAATATGATTCTAACTCTGAACAATTTTCACACTATTTTTGTAAAAACCAGAAAGTGCAGACAATTCAATATAAGCGCCATATTGTATCAATCTTTTTCTATGTCTATGTAAACATTTAATATTAGCATATTCATTTCCTATCTCACATTATGTCAAATGTCAACAGAAATGTTAAAAGAAGTGAAGACAAATTAGAAAGAGGCAGTTACGTTAAGAGAGGTGAAAATGATGGGGACAAGACAGGTAACAGTATTTTAAGAATTACTTACAGGGGGTCCTGCTGGTCCCTGAGCACCTCTCTCTCCCTATAAACAAAATCCAAAAGTATCTGACTATAGTTATTTCTAGGAAAGCATATAATAAATGATATATGATGCCAGACCTGCGACTGGTACAAAATAAAATACATTTCTGCTGTTTACATTCCTGAAATAGTCTTAAACTCCACCATATGTAAATAATAATCTAAGTATATTTCACTGTTTTGTAGGTTTGCTTTTCTAAGAAAGTTTCAGAATTATTCACAACAGATATTTCAGCTTTTCCATAAACCCGTTATTTCATATAAATACTGCAATTGAGGGTTCAAAAATGTTTTGGTTAAGATAATTGGGCATATGTAAAAATAGTTATAATAGCTTCATCATTTTTATTTCATTGACTGTAGGATAATCAACCTGCACAATACATGTAAATAATTAAGAACAAGAAAGGTTACAGATATGTCATTAGGAACGTTTATCTTTCCCTGGTGACACTGGATCCTGTTTTTTTTCAGATTCTGCTCTGTGAACCATTATGTAATGTTATTTCTTTAAGATGTACAGTAGTTTAATTTGACATTTGTTTGAATTTTAATATTTTGGGGGGTTGGTTAAATAAAATTGAATTGCATTTACTGTGAATTATGACATTATATTTTCATTAAAGACACTTCAAAATGGTTTTAAATAGGTGTCACATATCCAAAAATTGATAGAGCAGACATTCGTTTCAATGCTAGTTCAGAACCAGCCAAGCCAGAAACTGGAAACATACCTTTGCGCCATCTCTTCCAGGAGCTCCTGGTGGACCCTGAAAAAGTCCAGTAAGATCAAAAACATAAAGCAATTATATTATACCAAAACATTCAAAGTTCAGGAGGATTTTTTGGGGGTGAGGTTCGATTACTATAAGGTGACATCAGTTTGGCACCGTACAACTCTGGAAAGTCTTATCCAGAGACAATGCAGAAAGAAAGTTTTGATTTATATTTAATCTTAAATGAGAACAGAAGGCCTCGCACTTTAGATGCTGAAATTCATAATTTAACATGTAAGTTGAAAGTTGTTGATACAGCAACCCTCTCCTTAGAAAACAAAAGAGAAATGTCATTTTAATGGCGGTCTGAAGAGGAAAAGAAACAAAGAAAAAATACAATGGTAAGGAAAAATCTCTCGATTTCAAAACCACTGTCACAAAAGAGTTTATGAGTAAGAAAGGTTTTCTTACAGGAACACTATGTTTGTATTCTGGATTTCATATTTTCTTTGGTGAAACCATTAATCAAATACGTATATCATCATTTTTATTTTTCCTCAGCTTGAACTGGTGAGTCTCTTTCATGTGTCATACACAGTAGATGTTTTAAGACTTGCAGCCATGCCATTTTATGATTTAGCTCACTAAAGTTCTGGTAGAGCACAGGACTTTGATGTTTCATTTGAAACTCTAGTTTGCTTTATTCACCTAATTAGCTGCTGAAGTGAAAAAAATAAATTAACCATGTCCTCTAAATAAAAACAATTGTCAGGATTTCCTGCAATCCATATTCAAGACATACTGTATAAACACTGTGTTACAGATTATGATTCACAGAGTACTATTGCATCATTCAGCTATCATATGTTCATTTAAAGGTATTGGGCAACACATAAGAAATTGCCTCAAGTTATTTGCTGGTATTATTTGTTGGTCCCACTCAGTCAGTAGTAACTAACTTAAATCACAGCTTTCCTTGCCATTTGATTTTCAAATCATCATGTGCATTTCCGAGAAAACATATTAGTAATGCATGCAGAAATTCACTATAATTTATATTGCACAAAGGTTGTATTGGCTCCCTGTACATTGTTGATAGCACTTCAAAATAACAGGCTATTTAGCAAGAATTTAATGTGGAACTGAGATTGTTAGTCATTACTGAGTAATACATATAATTTGCTGATAGAATGGCTTGCAAAATAATATTTCCATACTGCCTGAGATATTCAGGTTTTACTGTTGATATTCAGTCAAACTCAGTATTCCATATTGTTACCAGTCATTTAATAATATAATAATGGATTTGGCTGCATGTACTTTATGAGTAGGGTGTACTGTGATGTTTGACAGGGGTAAAAAGCAAATTACATTGTTACATTTTCATTGCACCTTAACAGCATTTCCAGGTATGTGATTTTCAGACATACATGAATGTTTTTTTCTTCATGTTTGTTTACCTTGTTTGCAGACACAAAACTTTTCTTTGCTCTTGATCTAATTAGTCTATAAAAGGGTTTACTTGTTTAACCCTAGAAGGCAGCCCTCATATGTCTGGAAGAACCAAAGTGAAAAAAAATCAATTTTAAGGCTTGCATCCTAGATTTAATGTAAATTAAGTGAAATTTACACAATGTAAATAGATATCTAAGCAAGGTCTAGTTGTATAAAGAGCCTTGGCAGGAACAGTGATTGGCACAATTTTCTCATTTAAATATTTGGAAGATGAGTTTTAATCACTTGTTAGTTCATACTGGTGGTTGAAACACTTTAACTGGAGGTTGGCATTGTTTTGAATAAGAAACTGCAAACTCTTTGATTTACACTTTTTACACAGCAAAGTGTGAACAAAGGAAGTCTGTAGCTTTTCTACATGTCTGACAGCTCCATCTAGAAGAAAGAATTCACTTATAAAGGCCTCATTTATCTGAAGACCATCCAATACAGGATACTTTCCCTTTTAGGACTCCTCTGGACTCTGAACAAGTAAGAAAAGACTAAAGTGTTAATAGTTGATCAAATTGCGAGGAATGCAAGAGATTGAAAAAGGCATCTTATCCTTCAAGTATACCAAGTACTGAAAATACTTCTGCAACTCAAACTTAGAGTGTGTTTTAGTCACCAACTTTTTGTTTCTGCTTTGCACTGTTGAACTTTCTGAGACACTTTTTGGCTGTAAAAGGCAGAAACAATACAGAGCGCTCTTTGCATTTTTTTCAATTTCCATTAAAACTTTTGAAGAGCACATTTATAGCATGCGTCATTGAAACAGGACTTGTCTGTTCGTTTAGGTTAGATGAAACAGCTCCACATCTTCTGCCAGAGTTCCTTTGAGGCTTTTTGGCTATTGCTCAGTGTTAAATCGAGAGATAAATATTAGCCCTATCTGGGTAATGGGTGATGAATCCTTTCCACTGTTTTATTTTCCTTATAGCATTGAACTTGTGTTATGCTAGGAGAGCATAGCTATAAAAAGGTAATTTCACTAAGATGATTACTAACACAGAACAAAGTAGTTCACAGCCTGTATGACTGTCTGTGTCCATATAGATATGCTTACACTGTTGTGATTTGTAGCAAATTATAGACTAGAACTTTACTATTATTTTATTCACTTCAATCAATTCACTTGAACTTCATTCAATTGCCAATTATTATATCTGTTTGCTACATAGAATGTTCATTACATAGAACATGCTCTATTGTGATTTTATTCCCTCTCTATCTCTGTCTCTATGTATATGCTCTCTGTATAGTCTCTGTCACTGCGTACAGTATATAATTTTGTCAATGCCTGTGATACTGACCACGGGGCCTCGCCTTCCATGTTTGATGAGAGACAAATCAGCAGAGGGTCCAATTGGTCCCATCATCCCTCTGGGTCCAGGCAGGCCTGAAGGCCCTGGGGGTCCAGCCTGTCCAGAAGATCCCTTTGGTCCAGGAGGTCCTGAATCAGATCATAACATTTTCATTTTTGTAATACAACTATTGTTTGTCCACAATCTTAATCACATTGATCCCAAGTCTAGCTGTTCCTGTGTAAACGTCACTTCACATTTTTATTCCCAAATAAAACAGCATCAAAACTAAGTTTTTTTTTAAAAAACAAAACATTTATTCCTCCTTTTTATTGCCATAGGTTCTCTTGATAAGCTTAGTAGCTTTACTGTTACCTTTAACTCTTTCAATTAACTCTTTCCCTCTGTATTTATCTTTAGTAAAAGGGATAATCTGTATTAATAATACCTTTGGACTAAACTAAATGGCAGGTCACCCCATTCTACAAATCATCCAGTAGATGGTACCCTTAGCAGAGTTGTTCAGTTTGGAATGTACAAATGTTCCCTGTGGAAACTAAAAAATGTGAAATTCAATGTTATTGTAATGATATCAGTTATACTTTAGAGGTGATGGTACTTATTTTTCCTAATATGCAGTTTTGGTTGCATAGACTAAAAGTGATATGATTTGAACCAGCAATACTTGATCAGTGAAAATAATGTATTGTGTTCTCCAGATGTCTTAACTTCTCTCAAGAGACTACAGGAAAAGGTAGAATTATTGTGTGTGTTTTGGACTGTGTTGCTCAATGCAACACATTGCACAATCTCATGTGTAAGTTTGTTAGTGTATAACTTGTCTGTTGCCCTCTCTGTCCCCTTAGATCTCCCAGAACCATGATAACCTGGAGCTCCTATTTTGCAAGTCTGCACTTTGATGTACTTATCTGAACCATTGCTTGCCTGTTACTGACTGACCAGTAAAAAGCACAAAATAAATCTGGTACTGTGTTCCTTCATCATCAATAGGATGCAACCCATGCCATGATATATTTCTTTAACATACAGTAATATACTTTCAGAAGATGCACCAACAATGTTAAGAAAAAAGGTTAATATACTTTAGAAAGTTTCAAACCTGACAAAGCTTACCAGCTGGGCCTGGCTGGCCAGGGGGTCCAGGTAAGTATGAGTGTGGCAGTTTTTCACGGGTTATCTGTTTGTTAACTTCTGCACTATTGGGCAACAAGGCAATCTAGAACAGTAACAGAAAAAATTGTTTGCTTCAATGCTGCTGATAGTCATTTACATCCAGTTTATTCTGAAGCCATCAGCTCTCTGTTGTAACGAAAAGGTCACAAATGAGAAAATGTGAAAAATGCCCCCTTCTGAGCAAAGAAATAAAGTATATAACTAGAATATAATCTTATAGTATTGAATGTTAAGTTATCTGCATTGTTTGCTTTAGCCGAGGGCTGATAAAATTGTCTCACCCCACCAACTAAGATATTTGTGGTTAAAATAGTAGCCCTCTACTGGGGCAAACACTACCTCGCTCAGTCTGATTGCATTTGGCAATTGCATCATTTGAGCAAACATATGGACTACTGATACATTTCCAGTCTATCGTCAGCTCAACTTCCATATTCTGTTCCCCGTGGGATGAAATGCTGAGTGAGAAGTACTACCAGGAGTAGATTGCCAACATTTCCAGAGTTTTCCCTCCGGGGCCACACCAGTTTCTCATTTACAACTCATTCTTATGGCTCTCTGCTTTTTGAAAAGATAAGGGCCATTCTTATGGTGCTCTGCTCTCCTAAGTGATACAGACTATTTCACTTCAAAATCGTTGTCAAAGAATGAGATAGAGGAAAAAGAGAAATTGCAAAAAATTGTATCTCTTTAAATAGAGCACAAACATGAAAACAAGACTTTGCAGGTATTGGGTTTTCTGAATAAGTTTTAATGACTTCTTGTTGGTCTGTTTTTAACTGGTTATGAAGTTTAAATAATGTGTATTAAGGTGTTCAACAATAAAGCCTTTTGTAGGTATAATTCCCAAAAGTCTAGCACAGCCCCTGTTGCTATAAATTAACATATTAGCCCCTTGGCATACAAATGTTACATTTTACATTATACATGCACAGATGTCATGTCGAGTTTGAAACTGTCAATGATAATCATATGGATTGACAGCTGACAGTATATTTAAGTAACTCCCCTCAGGAAGTGGTATCACACCTGGAACTGTACAGCTTTTGAGTTCTGCACTATGGCATTAAGGTCTCACTGCAGTTCAATTGAATTGTGAGAGTCTGAATCAATGAAGAATAATAATCCATTTAAAGCAACATAAATCATTGGTTCTGATTTATTACCAACTAAAACAATTTACTAGTGTTAATTATTTATAAACAATCCTTCTTCAATAAACAGACAATTTTGTAGAGCAGAAAGGCTCCAAAACCACTCATGGAAAAGCAATGAAATGGAGTGTTCAGCACCCTGTCACATTCGGAAAAGACCCTAAAAAAGATGTGTATCAAACCATAGACATCGGCAACATATTCAAAGAAGCTGAGCCATACAATCCCTACAGTAAAAGTATTAACATTTTAATAAATGATGAGGGAGGTTTCCTGGGCTAGGTATGAGAATTTATGAATAGATAAGGGTACTTAAAAAATACCTATCTTGTAATACCTACTGTACTCCACAGAGAATTAATGAAAAACTAAGAAGTGTACAGTATACTGGCCTTCTAGTTCCAATAGTATTTAATTAAATGCTATGAAGCTTCAATATAACTCTATAGTGATTTATTTTCCCACTATAAACTGGAAAAAGAAAAAAAGCAGATGTCAAATGAGACTTAGTCTCCAACAAAAAAAAAAGATTTCCCATGTTTTTCATTAGCAACATTCTGCCGTTGCAGAGATATTCTGCATTTGCACAGGATGTTTGCTTTTTTGTGTATTGTTTTTAATTCCTTTGGTGGCAGCCTGCAATGACATTCACATCTCTTTCTAGCACAAGTGAAGGTAGATGTCAAACCAAACATTCCAAGAAACGGTATTTTACTAAATCGCACACAGATCTTTAGCTTTTTAGATGCACCTCTGAAAATTAAAAAGGGTGATCCCTTATTCTGGTGTTTAATGTTCATGTTTATTTTCTTGATGTAACGAACAGTTCTTTCCGAACCCTATGCGGACGACACAATCCGACGGAGTGGGGAAACACTAGGGAAACGTCATGCAGGAAAACGGGGCTGAAGACAGGGGGGCGTGTCCAAGGTGCGCTGGTGCACGGCGGAGGTGTGGCCGAGGCGAACAATCCAAAAGAGTAGTCCTTAGGGAATATCCAAAACACAAGGGTAAGTCCAAAACCAGAAGATCCATCTGAACAAGGAATTAAAAACACGAAGGCCGGGTCGGAACTGGCAGACAAGGAACAGGGGTTAAAACCTTAATGGGACCAGGCGCTTCCAGGTCCCGGACTCGCACGATATGGAAATCCGATGCAGAGACCAGATGAGCGTCAGCGCCTGGCTTTTAAGGTGGGCTGGGAATGGGAAACAGGTCCACAGAATAAAGTCTTGAGTGAAAGGGCTGGAGCACCCTTAAGGAGGGGGGACTAATATCGTGACACTTGACCATCAAAGTGAAAGCATTATTAGCTGTAAAGAGTGCACAAGATTCATATTACAGCTGTAGGGGGAATCAAATATCTGTTACATGGTGTAGAGAGTTTAAGGTAGCAAAAACCATTGCTCCCCAGTGTGTCACTGGTTTAATAAAGGCTGATGTACTCTAAATTACATTAACCTGGTTAACTGAGATCTCAAGCATTTTTACTTGGTTTGGTTTTGGAATCAATGAAATCTAAAGCATTTTCTAAAACATTTACTAGTATACAATCCTTATTTTAATAGGTTTAATTAAAGATGAGGCTGGATCACAAGAAAGTTGTTAAAATCTATGAAACTTTATTCCTATCATGCTGGACATTACAATAGTGTGAACATTCATTAGAACATCACATATTTCTGTTGTTTTGTGCATATGAAATTCAAAATGGCAAACATTCTGAAAACTGATCAAAATGGCAAATATAATATTGTCTAAGTTCATGGCTAGCTGTAATATGCTAAAAATGATTGATTTCCAATATCCAGAGGAAAGTAACACAAAACTACAAATAATAAAAAGCATGTGAAGTTTTAGAGTTCTGCCTAATTAAAACTTCAAGAAAAAGTTAAATCAAAGCACACCATGGACTTTGAGAAATTACATTCATATGATTCCAAAAACAGTACGCTTGCCAAGCTATTATTTGAGGCCAAAAGAGTCTCAAATTAATGCTGAATATTAACATGGTAGGAACAGTCTTATATAACTATTTTCATCATGTAATTTTATTTCTAAGCTTATGGTAGATAAATATATAATTTATTCAATGTGTCAACACCTTTGTACGGTACGTGCAAAGCTCAATGCATGACAGATGCTGAGGCATTCCGATAATTGTGTAAACTGAATGTGTTCTGAAATGCTTAGATGTTGCACTGGAAAAAGCACCATACAATTGTGATGAATAGAGTGTTTTGAAAATGCACTGCTCCTGAAAAATAAAATGGTAATCTACCGTAAATACCTTTTGTTTGAGCTGTAATACCGTCATCTTTATCTGATGAAAGTCCTCACACGTAGCTGAACATGTTCCGGCTTTCATCACATTATCTGACTTCTGAAAGTGACCAGCTAGAAAAGAACAAAGAAGCCAGTTAATATCAATCTCGTCTGTTTTAAAGCTATTTTAAAGCAGACAAATACATGCAATGAGGTAATACCAATTAAACTGAAATAATTCTACCTCTTTCAGAAACACCTTCTCAGTTTAGGATGGCTGTTAAGACCCTATAGTCACAATGAATGATGTGTATGAATATTACAGGAGCTCTCACCCAAATACAATGCTGCAGGAGTTAGATAGAAGGGTGTTTCTTCTAAAATGTCACTCATTCCAAGATTCATATTACAGCTGTAAGAAGGATCAAATATCTGTTATATGGTGTAGGGATTTTAAGGTAGCAAAAATCTTTGCTTGCAAGTGTGCCGCTGAGCCAAATGTCCCTGGCTGCTAACTTTGACCTATATATACAAAAGGCAGAATGAGAAGTCATGTGACAGTTTTACTCTCATGTAGCATTGGGATTGGACAATAGCTAAGTATGTTCACATCTAATGTACCTATCAATGGCATGTAAATACAGTATTATCTAAGATCTTTATTTTAGATTGTTATTTTCTCACATTAATCTTGATTGTGCCTGAAATGAGAACAAAATTCTCATCTTTATTCTTAACGTTTTGAGCTGTACTGCATGTCACAAAGTAAACAGGTTTTAAAAGCTGTTCTTTGATCAGGCTCTTTTCTAAATGGCAAACAAAAGATTAAATAAAGTTAACTGGATCACAGATCCAAACTATCAGTCTAAACTTCAGTTAGATAGTCTTTCTTTATTTTCAATACTGCTTTACATATTTCAGACTCACTATCAGTAAGTGTTTCTGGTATTTTGAATAAATGCAATTCTGGGCACTGTTCAGCCATTCTGATGGTATTCTCATTTCATTCTTTTTCATCATTTTTCTCCTTTACCTAAATACTGACATGTTGAAGGATGAGACACCTTGCTTTTTATCATTACCATACTATAGCATTTGCAAATTTAAGAAACATATACTGGATTGCTGTCAGGTTGTATTTTTCTTCATTTAACAATTGGATATTTAACAATTTAAAAATTCTGCTTTCAAAGTTTTGGCCTGCATATGAAATGATAAAACATGTTATGTTGTCATCGTCATCATCATTATCAGTTTTCAATTATCAAACCACAGTTCTACTGCTCGTTGGAGGTCTTCAGTCTCCCCATGATCTTTCCCCAAGTGTCCATCTTCATTTATCCACATTCAGATTGCTTCTGCCAAAGTAATAATTTCAACTTGCCATCTTACAGGTGGTCTGCTTCTTGAATGCTTTCCTTGGTCCAACAATTGTTCTGTCTGCTAAACTCTCACAATGCAACATGCCCTTTTGTTTGTGTTATAACACATTTGTTTCATTTCTTGTCTCTGCTTGTTATTCCAAACATACATCTTTCTGTGCTTCTTTGGGTCATCTGTATTTTCTCTGTCATTTTTTTTTATTAATAAGGAATTATTCCATATGATAATAGAGGCCACACACATGTTTTGAAGACTTTCCTTTCAAGGTAGAAAGGCAATTTCCTCTGTAGATTCATGCTTAATCTTCAGAAAGTACTCCAGCTTATCCTTTCACTTCTTTTTATTTGGTAAATACAACACCTCTTGCCCTGAGCCTGACAAATGTATCATACTGTTTAGTATTGGTTTTGTCATGATATACTAAAACAAACTTCATTATGGCTTTTTTTGTGGAAGTAATTTTATGAACAACATGATGGAATAGTGTACATCTCATGCAATGACATTTATGCTAGAATGAAGGTTCTGTTGTTGAGAATAAAAGTTTTTAGGAAGCATTATATCAGTAGTAAACCTATTTGTGGCTGACTTTGAGCTTTGAGTAATTTTACTATTAACTGTACCTTCAATGAACTGAATATTGTAGGTAATCAACCATACCATACTTTAAGATATATTGTATATTACCAATTTTCTAAACTGCTTTATCTAATACAGAGTTATGGAGGAGCTAGAGCCGAACAAAGCAGGCAACACACACAAAGCGGGATGCACCCTGGACAGGAAGCCAGTCCATGTCCACACAGCCACAAACACGCACACTCACACCAGGGCCAATTTTCCAGAAGGCAATTAATCTACCAATTTGTCTCTGGACTCTGGAAGGAGCACCTGAAGGAAACCCATGCGAACATAGTGAGGCCATACTGTACAAACTTCACATAGATAGCACCCCAGGAACTGAACTCATGGCCCCAATACAGCAAGGCAGCAATTCTAACCACTGCATCACTGGGCCTCCCTAAACAAAAATAATTAGACTAATAGCTTAATTGATTATTCAGGCTGTAACAAATACCAGTAAAGGGGTCCTACTACTCACTTTATTGTGACTGGAAATAAGGTGGAGGAGAAAAAGCAATCAAGAGATTGTGGAAACAATTTTCATTCCCCTTATTTTTGTAGGGTTGTTTTTATGAAGATAAAATATATAATGCCTTGCTTTTAAAAATGATAAAGAGCTTTTTAAAATGTTTTTCTGCTTGCCTTTAGTGTTGTCGAGTATGCATTTTGTTTAGCATATATTGTCACTGATTTTGCAAGGCTTACATTAGACAACATCTGCAGTCAGCTTTTTCATGGACCACTGGATATTCAATTTAGATTTTCTTCTAAATGAAAGAAGGCAAAGCTGTGTCCAGATTTTAGATCTTGGGTGTTACAATTGGAAGGGTTCAGCTCCAGGCATCGCTGTGGTCTGGTTAAACAAAGTTCAGATTACAGGAGTGATTGAAGGTTTTGCTGCACACCAAAGCAGCTGTATCATAGTTACAGTAAATGACAGCAGGGCACAGTGTGACTTGTCTGAATTAGCTGGTCTCTCAGTTTTATCCTGCCACATGCAGTGATGATTATACAGTCTGCCATGTTTCTTTTGAATAAAGTAAATATTAAGAAAATTTGAAATGAAACAAATAAAGCCAAGAATGGAATGTTTGACAGATTTGTCAAACATTCAGAAAAGGAGAATGGTCTAAGGTTCATGGATATTATGCAAAACGGATCAAAACAACAAAATACCTGCCAGATTTTTTGCTTAATATAAAAATCATATTTTGTACCATTATACAGGAAGGCACTGGAATTTCAGAAAAGCAATAGCTTTGGATAAAAGGCAGCAGAATAAAAAAAACATGATCACAAAAGATTTACCTCTTTCCCCTTTTGTGCAGGTTTTTCCATCATCTTCTAAAAAGTAGCCTTTCTCACATTCACATCTGTAGCTCCCTGGAGTGTTGATACAGATCTGGGAGCAAATTGTTTCATTTTTATTGGCGCATTCATCAATGTCTGCAAAGAAACACATTGGTAAAAAACAAGGAATGTTGTGATCTCATACACTGTCATCTTTCAAGAAGAGAATAAACTTCTACAAATGAAGATATGGGTTTGAAGATTGTACCATCTATTGTGAAATAGAATTGAAAATTGTGAAAAACTGAAAGTAAATGATACAGCGGTTGACAGTTTTACAGTACTGTACATCATGCACAGTATTCTATTTGGAAATAACTAGGTAAAGATATGACCCCTTCATGTCTAGCTGATCCCACTTTTCATTATAACTTTGCTCAATATTGCTGCTTAAAGCTACAATTTTTATAATACAAAATTTGTCCTTTTGAATAGCTGTCAGTACATGCATTACATAACACATAACATAATTAATTTAGCTTGTAGCTGTAGATTGTAGCTGATTTTTTAAAATTTGCATAATTAATTATAAAAGAAGATGTGAATATTAAACGACAATGGCATTGCATACAACATGTATCACCCTAACAACTTAATCTTACTTGTGAAATGCTATGCAATTTGATCCAATATAAAAATGGCTCTGTTATGAAATATGTTATGAATGAAATATTAGACTACATATTGTTACCCTTTTCTACATGTACTGTATGCTTTACATATCCTAACACAGCATGAGACATGGGATTGTGAAATTAAAAGAAATATTACACTTAGACCTACCAAAGCATTCCAATTAGCTCCCTAATATGAAGAAATTTTAAATAAACTAAAAAGGCAAAACAATATAAACAATTATAAAACCATTACATAAACATTGATAATTTCAGCATTCTTGGGTTTGGAAAGGTGTTTTATAAATATACATTAATAGGACATGAAACTAATATAGAAACACTGTACACAAATTTGTTTAAATATAGTACATTAAGAAGTAGAAACTCAGATAAAATAGAAATAAGGTAAGAAAAACAAAACAACTTAAAATAAACATTTTTCAAGAAAGGGAGAATGCAGTTTAAAAAGAATCTTGTAATTAGGGACTGAAGCCTTAGTTTTTTTTGTCATTTATCCACCCAGTCTTGAAATGAACATTTGTTATTTTGCAGTATACAGATTGAGTTCAAGGCTATATTAGATATACTGGATTAACTAATGAATTCTAGGTCCTTGCTGTTTTTGGCACACTTGTTACTGTGTTAGCTAAGGAGACCACACACCATACTTGTTTCTAGCACATCTGTACAGACGACTCACAAACAATGACTGATCCCAAAGAAAAATCTACAGTTCTCACCAAGGCAATAAGGCTTCTCTCTGTTTCTGTGCCTCTCTCTGTCGTAACGGTACCCAGCGTAGCAGGTACAAAGCACTCGACCAAAATGATCGGTGCACTGCTGCTCACAGGGTGCTCCTGCACACACATCATAGTCTGGAACAATGTCAAGGACATAACAGGAATGAAAGCAAACACATTTATAAATGAATTCAATTACAAAGCAATATACAATTATGAAACAATCAAAAATAAGCATAAAAGAATAAATATATTCATCCAGTACAATTTAACAGAACCAATTATGACTTAATTTAGCCTCACTTATAAATATTAACTGTCAGACCTGTGGCTCAGCAGAAAGATGTGTGAGTATCATAGCTCTGATTTTTTTTGTAAATCTTTTCCTATCTTGTGTTTAAATTATTCATTTGGATCTCTCTATGTTGCCTGTGGAGTCTTTTTTTAAAAATCAAGGACTATAAAAGGTGGAAAAGCTACATCAGCTTTTGCTACTATAATTCCCAGGCAGAGGAATCAGATGATGATGTTGAGTAATTTCAATTGCTGCTGTAGAACAATGAAAGAAAAAAAAAATCAGTTCTTAAGGTAACATAGTTATATCACGCTACAAGCCATGACTCACTCATCACATGATTCAAAACTAAACTCCCTGTATGAGCACAATACACCACTGGTAGCATTGTAAAAACATTGTGTTTCTAGCTAGAAGAAAGTATTCCACATTTGGTTTACAGGAAAGGGAAAGTACAAAAGAAACAACACATGGTTTTTCCAAACTGCACTTTGCAAAATTGTTACATTACCTTCTGGAATGCATTGTCCCAGCACAAATTTAAAACCTTCACAGCATTTTTTCCTGCAAGGAAATACAAATATGTGCTTTACGTGGCGGGAAATTATTGCTATTTTTGTTAGTGCTCCCCAACTAGCATACAACTCTTCGAAAAGCACCCTCTATTAGAAAGCTTATTGATGCATAAGCCTTTGATACTGACTTGCTAGACTTTCTGTACAGGAGTTTCCACAACTGTTTTTTGAATTATTATCTTACATAGTATAATATAAATCCCATGTACTGCACATCGTGCAGCCCAGACAAAAGATCATGCTAGGTTTCTGTATGTTTGTTACCTTGCCTGTTTTATACTTTAGTATAAAAAAAATCTACTGCAGTTTTCTCTGCCCTAGGTTTCTCTGGGAAGACAATCATGGATTGTTGATCCTGTGTCCATTCCTGGCATTTTTTTAACCATTACCCCATCATAACCTGCAAGATTAGATAATGGTTCTACACAATGATGCATTTTAGTACACCATGTCTACAATTCTATAAACTATAAATGTCATTTTATAGTTGAATATGACAACCTTCACATTTTAAATGAGTGGATATTGAAAGGAAGATCCATTATTTAAACATGCTGTGATATGCAGTATTATGGTAAAATATTCTATACACTGTAAGAATGGTACAGTCATTTGCCAACAGCAAAACATACTCTGCAAATTTACCATGATTAACTATTCTAATGGATATGGTCCACCTCTGACTACAACATGGCCTCAGTAAACCGCAAATTAAAATGTATTACTGTATACTGGTATTGAAAACCCTCCAAACAGACAAGCAAACAATTTGTGAGTATATTAAAAAGAGTGATTCAGCACTCTATTAACAACATACAGTACCTATGATACTGTAATGTTGCATTTCTTCAAAAAATGTCAATTTAATCTTTAATTTAAACTGCTTCTATATGACAGCACCAAGATTTACACATAACACACTGGAGGACTGAAGTTTCTTCCAGTAGTATATGCTGGAAGGATTAGATTAAAGCAGTAATCAACCTTTATTTAATTTAATGACAAGCTGAACTGCTGGTGACTCTACATAATAAGAAATGTACTGTACATCAGACACATTTACTGCTCTATAGAGTGCCCTCAAAACTGCATGTGGTAGTATAACAGCCATCATCATTCATTTTTTGTCATTTTCTTTCTGCTGACATATCCACAGTTTTCTTAAAATTAAGACCACAAAAATCTGTAGAAATACTGTGAGTTATTCATGTGAATGCTTTCCCCCTGTTTACTGAAAAGCTTGTAATTTAATGAAAAATTATTTGGCAGGGAGAAAGAATAGAGGCAGTTGGGTGCAGTGTGGAGGATGCAGAAAGCAACCATTTTATGCAGCACTGAAGTTAGACCATCAGGACCAATGTTACAAAACATTCCAGTTTGTCACTGTGGAAAGGGGAATGGTAGACAACACTGCAGATGGAGGCAGAGGAATGGGGTTAACATGGTGGAGTACACTTAAAATAAAGACACTGTTTTAAACATAACCTCCTCACCTTTTTATTCAAAATTGGAATTTGTCCTGAGCTATTTTCTTAACGGCAAAATCAATGTTTGTCTCGTCATTAATCTTAAAAGAACATCAGTTTACCAAGAATGTATAGGTAAATACCAGATTAAGTTTCCTACAGTATGTGCATGGTTTGACTTTTAATTACGTTTTATTTGTTATTCTATTACATCAGCTGTAAGTTTTCTTTCTTTGAAACTGTATTCAAACATTAATTTTATTGCTTAGCCTTCGCATCCTAGCAATTTTTAATTTGAAGGAGGTTGTGGCTCTAGAAACGTGGAGGATGTACAAGCATCTTCAATTACAACTTATCTTTCTGCTTTCAATGCAATGTGTTGTGTACTTCCTGTATTTCCAAGTTGAGCAAGAATTCAAAACACTCCAAAAATGCACCCCCTCACGCCTCTTATTCAACATATATTTGCAGCTATGAAACACTGTCTGTGTTAAAGCCCTTAAGAGTTTGACAAGCCTTTCATCTGTTCTACCGATCTAAGATACATTCACAAACTCCTTGGTGGCCATGCACTGACAGGGCAAGTAATGAATGGAAACCAGACTCTTCTAGCTTCCTCTCTTGAGCTCTAACAACTAACCCAATACGAAAGGGCAACCTAATAATCAGTTTGGTGCATAAACCTCTACTGGATCAGAGCAGTATTATGGTCATGGTTTAAATTATGCTGTGTTTCATCCATGGGGCTTCCAGAATCTGACAAGGACCAGCATAGAGAAACATTCTCCACCATTGCTAAATTCAATGCAGGTTTGCTTATTTGGAGTATTAAAAGAGAATTACTGTTTGGCTCCACTCTGGTATATCTAGGTGATCTTGCACACAACACTGGAATGCCCTATATGTGACCCCAGGTTTTATCACAGAATAACATCACTTTATATGCAAAAAATACTGATAGCAAACAGTATGCCTCCTAAAATAAACAGCAAGAAAAAGACCATGTAAAGACAAATAAACCACAGCAGGAATAATTTTACTTGTATTTATTGGAAAAGTCACGTCTCTATTACTCAAACAAAAAATTATTTATCAATTTACCAAGAAATTACCAAGAAAACGTTAGGTATTTTAAATTTAAACCAAAGCTTCATCCTTATCTGTTTCTTAGTAAGAATGTTTTTTAAACTTAAAATTCTGTATGTTACTATAAAATAAAAATGTTGTAGTGTTTTATTAACAGAAAGGGAAATATTTTCATCCCAACTTCAGGAAAAAAAAACTCTATTTATAGTAACAGCCTTATTTCATTTATAGGAACTCAGCTTTTGACAGGATATCTGGACAATCCAGATGAATGATTGCAGTTTCTGACATTTAATATCAAATACTTAGCAAAATTAGTGTTAATGAAATAATACAGATTTCACAATTAATCTGTGTTTTAACTAGCTTTGTATGGGAATGTCAATGATAAAAAACACAAAAACAAAGAAGAAGAAAACAACTATATATCTGGGAAGAAGTCTTTGAAGCATCACCCTTTATCTTGCTGCCAAAACCAAACTCATAGGCTTGTTAATACAAATAGTTTATATTACAAATACTGCCTACCAGAGACCATGCACAAATAATAAAGATAATTTGAAAGAAATATATTAATTTAGTACATCTGCAGTAATTAAAAGTAAATGAATTAAACAGCTAGCCCTTAACATAGTACTATGAAATTGATCTGTACTAGAAACAAGGAACAAATTATCATGAGTGTGATAAAGTGGGACTCCAAGTGAAAACCAGATGTTCCGACTATACTCCTGGGAGTTGACATGAAGCTGATATTGATTAGCAGAGGTCAATGTACTCATGCAGTGAAATAATTATTTTGGTAACCAAACACATTTTCTGTGGCTGGTTACTGATTAAGTCTGAGAATGGGGGTATGAAGGTGGAAGGTGCTGTGCAGACTCTCCAGCTGAGAACAGTTCATAATGGTCTCCATCATAAGACTTAAAAAAAAGTAACTTACAAAGCACAACAGATATGAGATATACCATCTGCACTGTTGTGACGCTTCAAAAAGAAAGAAAATAACATAAACTAAAGGACAACACGTTATTTGATCAAGTACTCAGTAAACAAAGTGTGGACCAATAACTGCTTTGATTACCCAAGAAGTGCTGAAGAACCCTGGTTTCATGTCTCACTCAATGAATGCCCACAGTGTGAATTAATTAACTGATTAACCTTGATGACACCAAGCTTTGAAATAATCCAGAAGCTGGATCCCCCCTATAAATTAAAACATAGAAAATATATCCTGAGGCATAAAGAGAAAGAAAGTTTATGTATTATTCTCATCTAAATTGCTGAGTACTTGTAACTATTTTCTTGACCCACTTTGAGCTTTTTATCATTTTCTGAGGATGCTCTTTAGACAGAAAAATAATATTTTTAGTCTCTGAAAGAATAAACTTATAAATTAATAAAACAAGGGATATTTATTCCAGAAAAGCATGTACAATACTGTAAAAACTAAAATGTGATTAAAAGAAATTTAGTTAACATACAAATAGGACAATAGGTAATACATTCTCAAGAATAATCACAAAAGGCATTAATGTCATTGGTGACTGCTAGACCTTACAGCTTCCTTCACACCCTCTGGTTGATAATGAAAATGTTAATGCAGCTTTTAGTGTGAAAAATAAATAAAAGGAAATGTATTGTGGCATAGACTCTATTGATATTGTTTCCATGATGTAGTATTTTGTGGACATATAGAAAGTATACAAAATATAAAATACATTTAACATTCACCTCTGTTTTAGGTGTGAGCTTTTGTTAAATCAAGGGCACTGACTCAGGAGAATCCAACACTTGTAGTCAGTAATTTTAACTCCATGGTTTAATGTTTTGTTAGACTACTTTTTTTATTTTACACCCAAGCAATATGGAATGGGCACTTGTTTATTTGGGTCAGAGTAACAACTTCTGTTGCTCCTTCTCCTACCAACCAGCACATCAAGTTCTTTATCTACTGATGTGTTGCACTTGCCAGGACTGTTGGTTCCAACTGCAGAAACAGCAGTACTGCCTGGAGGCAGTACTGGGAGTTGTTGGAGTTTCTGTTGTGCTGAATGCCATGAAAGTCCTGCCCAACTCAACTTGATGCCAGCTCTGCTCTTGTGGTGCTGTTTCATTTGTCACCTTTGCTTCGTACAATATATACTCATTGCAGTTGCCAGTGAAATAACCCAGGCTTGAACGCAAAACATTTAGACACAGAGTTCAACTTACTTTTCTGGGAGCCCCTTGATTATCAATCCTTTAATGAAAAGATTGCAAAGAAACCAAAGTTATACAGCAGCTTCAAGTTTTAACAAGGTCACAGTGCCAGCTGAATACAAAGCCATGTATTAAACATCCAACATTCACAATTCCTCCTTGTTTTATATGTCATTGGTTTAATAATATGTTACATCTAAATGACACGTAAAGAAACAGTGAAAGTTATCCTGTT